TAGAACCTTCCTAGAAGGTGAGAAGCAGGAAAAGATCAGCCTGGACATCCACACACGGCTTTGGACACAGACATCTAACAATGACCAAGAAAAAAGCAAAGGCTGTACATGTTCACTTCTCAAAAATGAAATGCTAAGGCTCAGCACCTATGGCTCAAGCGGCTAAGGTGCCAGCCACATACACCTGAGCTGGCAGGTTTGAATCCAACCCGGGCCTGCCAAACAATAATGATGGCTACAACCAAAAAATAGCCAGATGTTGTGGCAGGTGCCTCTAGTCCCAGCTGCTTGGGAGGTGGAGGCAGGAGAATCATTGAGCCCAGAAGTTGGAGGTTGCTGTGAGCTGTGATGCCATGGAACTCTACCTAGGGTGACAGCTTCAGGCTCTGTCTCAGAAAAAAAGGAAAAAAGGAAATGCTCACTTCTGGAAGGAGGGAATGTATCCATCAGAATTCTGAAGGTCTTCATCCCAGAATGCCACACCCAGCTACAGTATTAAGTAAGTCTATACAAGGATAAAGACATTTTCCCTTATGTAAGAACCAAAGATATTTATCTCACAGGTCCCCAGCAATAAACTGGTTAACAGAATAAACCAGTCAACCCAGACAGGTGACCCTGATGACAGCTGTGCAGCAAGACTGGAGAGAGCATCTGAAAAAACAGTAGAAATTGTGTCCCAGAGACCTAGCAGATGTGATGGAGTCCTACAGTGTGGAGGAAAAAAGAGATCTGGGTTCTCTCTGCTGGGAATGTGACCCCAAGGGATCCCTACTCACTGAGACACATGGCTGCGCATAGCCACTAAAGCACTCAGTAATGCTGAATGAACAAGACAACGGGCCCAGAAAGAGACTTCCTTTCCATAGACACATTCATGGGGTGTCCTGCTCTAAGGCCATCAGAAACCAAAGAACTCTCAAGCACCTTACTTCACCCTGCAAAATAAGGCCTATGATCCCACCCACTGCCATAGTCTCCAATCAGCCCCTTGGAAGTAACAGTGACAGACAATCTGGTAGTCAGAGAGAAATAAGACAAGACACTGAGCCAAGGTGGATTGACGCTTTACTGGGGATCAGGAAGGCCTAGTGCTGAGACCACGCTGGCAAGCAGGGCCTGCACACCAGGCACTGCTGACCTCATGTCCTGATGGGACAACACTGAGAAGAAGGACATCAGGTGGGCTTTAGTGCAGGGAAGGGTAACGGTGGGAGGAGACACTGCTGGAGGAAAGTGGGGAGCAGAGGCTTGAAATAGCCTGGATGGGACAGGACGTGGGGGAGGTGGAGAGCACCAATGAGGCCTTGGAGA